ACCTGACGAAGTACCGCCAGAGTTCTATTGAGCGCTTCTTGAATGGGTTTTCGAGGATCGATGTCGAAGTTTGGATCGAACTCTTGAGTCGACGAGCAGAATTTTCGCCAATCTTCCTGAAAACTATTGATCATTCAGAACCCGCAGTGAAAAGCATGCAGTCTTTCCAGCTGAACTTACCAATAACTGCAAAATTTCTCCTCCACAGCTATCCTGAGGGTTGTAATCCGTTGAAATGACAACATACTCATTAGGCTTAGCACCGTATTTGGATATCTAAATTACATAGACATAAGTAACGATAAATATTCATACTGGAGACAAATTCACGCAAAACCCTGTTAAACATGCTACTAAAATTTCAGTTTCTGAAACCAATTCGAAAATATTTATAAGAAATAGATATATCAGAGTTGATTCTCACTACTTTCAATAAGTATTCACAACTTGATTTTAGCAGCTGCATTCTTAGCTCTCTTTTCATCTTTAAGGTCCCATTCGCCAACGGTCTTGATCTTTTCGACTTTGCAGAGCTATACGGAACCACTCGATACAATATTTTTAAGAGATTTTTATGTCTGTATGCTTGACGAATCGCTACCAGGTTGCTAGACACGTCGTTCCTGATTACAACTCTTCCTCTTTTCTTTTGTGTCTTCTTCTTCTCTCCAATGAAACTGTAATACCCTTAATTCTTTCAAGTTTTTTGCTAGTATTGAGGTCGTCCTTCCTGTTCCGTGTCTCAACTCATTTTAGTCGTATTCATCAGTGTACTCAGTGTGAGTAGCATCTCACACTTCACTGTTATTCTAAGCTGTTGAAGCGCTCTATTTAGGGTCTCACATTGCAACAACGATGCAAAAGCTATACAGACAGTATGTGGGTTAGCAGATAGTCACAGTTGAGTGCTCAGAGTTGCGTGCACTATATCTAAACAACTGAAAAAACCATACGCACCGCCACGAGATCCGAGGCTGTTTCGATAGCACTGTTCAATACGCACTCCAACTTGGAAAGTTTTGCTTCCAACTGATTTGGTGGTGTTTTATCATTGATAAGAGAAGCTGTCAGGCCCAATATCCGAGGTTGCTGATCTGGAAGGGAAGAGATAATTAGCTACTCCCGGAAAAGAGCAAAAGCAAATGAAACGAAGAACCTGTGGGGACTCGCATAATACGATCCATAATCACACGATATGGATGCTTCACGCCAAGGGCGTGATGACACTCATCAAAAATAATAAGAGCGAGTTTCGCGATATTGAAGTACGCATGATCTATCAAATCGAGAAACACTTGAGCGGTAATGACCACTACCTAAAGAAGTAAATTGTAAGCATAAATGGTGGCTGAATGGACAAAATGTTGTGAACTTTCGAGCAAA